CCTTGGCTGCCGCCTGAGCCGGTGCTAGGACCCCGCAGAAACTTTAGGGAGAGGAAATACCGCTTTTTCTTACAGAAAAATTCAAGTCCGTATGTGAGAGGAACTCAAGAGAAAACTTGAGTCTCGCCCTGGCCGGGTGGCTCAGTTGGTTGGAGCTTCGTCTCGCACACCAAAGGTGGTGGGTTCGATTCCCGGTCAGGGCACATAGGGGAGGCAACCCGTCGATGTTTCTCTCTCTCTCTCTAAAAATCAATAAAAACATATCCTTGGGTGAGGATTTTTTTAAAAAAGAAAAAGAAGGAAACTTGGAGTCTGTACTCTCGTATTTGAGGGACTTGAAGGACTCATTGTTGGAGGCAGTGCCTTAAACATACTCTTCTATCTGGAACATTATTTCAGATTAACAGGAATGCAGGGCCCGTTAGGGAGCCTGTGGCTCCTGGCGGGGGAGGGTGTTCCCCTCCCTGGCAACCACGTTTGCCACCCCGAGGTGATTTGGTCTTAGGACCAGACATTGCCAGGAAATGCTGGACCAAATCCTCTTGGTGTCTCAGCCGGGAAAGAAAGTGCTTGACTTTACCTAGCAATCTACAGATCTCCAATCTACCCTTTCCAGGGCAAACCCCATCTATTATTACAATGCTGTGTCTTGCTCTACTCCGGGCTGGGATCAGATTCTACCTTCCTCAAATTAATTGCAAAGACGGAGTTAGGAGCCAGGGTGTATCCAGTCCTGATTTAAAATCCGCTGACTGCCAAGCTCGATTTGGAAAGACAAGGAAATTCTAAACAGAATCTCCGCAGTCTTTGCAGTTTAGCAGAAGCAGGTGTGTTTTCAAGTGTTTTGTTTCCTGTGAGTGGCGTGTGCTGCTGTTTGGGAAAACCATCTGCCCGTGTTCACCAACAACAGAAACGCTGCCTCCGCCCTGGGCTCCTTCCTACCCAGATTCCTCTCCAGTGAAGCCACGTGGTGGCTTGGAGGAATCCAAGTGTAAACCTGGCTTCAACTCGGAGCCTCCTAACAGGTTTCGAGACTGAATTTGGGGTCACAGTTAAATGTGGTGCCTTCAGAGTTTGTTAATCATCACCAAAGGATATTTTTTCCATGGATTTTTAGAGAGAGCGGAAGGGAGGGAGGGAGAGAGAGAGAAACATTAATTGGTTGCCTCCCTCATGTGCCTGGACTGGGGCAGGGGATCAAACCTGCAACCCAGGTACTTGCCCTTGACTGGGAATCGAACCCACGACCCTCCAGGGCAAGAGCAGATGCTCTAACCCCACCGGCCAGGGCAGCCTTCACTCTTAAGAACTTGAGTTTCCTCTTAACAGGATTTAAGGTTTGTTTTGTGGATGTTATTTGAAATCGCAACAATGTAGCATGTTGACTACATAGTAACAGTCTGTTAAATTTCTACATTTAACACATAATATACTAAATAAAATTTTTTTTTTTAAATATATCTTTATTGATTTCAGAGAGAGGAAAGGAGAGGGAGAGAGAAACATCAGTGATGAGAGTCATTGATCGGCTGCCTCCTGCACGCCCCCTGCTGGGGATCGAGCCCACAACCCGGGCCTGTGCCCTGACCGGGAATCGAACCCCGATCCCCTGGATCCTAGGTCGACGCTCAACCGCTGAGCCACGCCCAGCTAGGCTAAAATTAATTTTTTTAAAAGCTTGAAAAGTATTTCATTTCCCAGCATCTAAACTGCCCTCAGCACCTTATCCCGCTGGCTGAGATGCCACTCATCATCGGGGCCTGTGTCGGTTTTCAGTTCTGATGAACACACATCCGGGTATAAAACCGCTGCAACAAATTGGCATGATTTATGGGTCAGACGGAGTTAAGAGAAGTTCTTAGGGTTAAATCAGGAACCAAAAAAGTGATCGCAGGCAACCACAAGTATGTAAGAAAAATGATTCCACAGACTTATAATTGGAAAAAAATAGGGGACTCTGAAGTTTAAGGACCTAGGTCATGCTCACTGTCTCCACCTAGTGATAGGTCCTTGAGTGAGGCCTGATGAGCTCGTAGGGGATCTGCCCGACTCTCAGCTTTGTTATTTGCCTCCTGGTCGCTTTGATTTGGGGACAATATTTTTTACTCATGAAAGCGACTTTTAAAATGTACTTAACAAATGTGCACGTTTCTCTGATTAGTTTGCTGAATTTCCTTGAAAGAGTCATTACAAGTTTTAAAATGTTAATTGTATGTTATGTTATCGTTAAGATGGGGTTTGGGCCCGGAGCGGGTCTGCCTTGGGTCCCCCTGTAGTGGTGGGTTCTTGGCCTCGTGTAGGAAAGATTTCACAACACCAGTGCAGGTGATTTTGAGAGTATGTTTATTAAAGCTGGGGATAGTGACGCAAAGGAAGGGCTTAAGATAGAGAAGCAACAGGAGAGAGCCCAGGCGGGGCTGCTTTGGCCCTCTAGAAAGAGAAGTCACACTAAAAGAAATGAGCTCACTGGGAAGTCAGAGGAACAGGGGGCCTTGGAGACAGGTTCAGGGGGTGAGCCTGGAATGAGTTCCCGCTGCCCACTGCTCCCCTGGTTGCAAGTCTCCTGGGGTCCCTTAGAGTTTAGGAGAAAAACAGCAGAGATACAAGGCGTGGGTGTGCTCCAGCCAGAGCTGCCGTGGGTCCTTTGTCTTGAGGCTTTTTCTCTTTCTTTGGCCGGCTGAAATCCTAGGGGAGGTCTCAGGGGATTGTCTTAACAGAATAGTTATTAGCTTTTCAGGTGTGTCTTTCAATATGTGGATTCATCAAAATGTGCTTATAGAGCCCGGGCAGGTGTGGCTCAGTGGGTTGGAGCAGCATCAACCAATCAATGGTTTTTTTTTTCTCTCTCTCTCTCCCTTCCTCTTTCTAAAATTGATTTTTTTTTAAAATGTGGGTATAGAGGGGTCAGGGGTTTTCTTCTGGTTAGTTTCATTTTTAAAGATTGTCATCAAGCCCTGGCCAGTGTGACTCAGTGATCAGAGCATCGGCCCACGGACGGAAGGGTCTCAGGTTCGATTCATGGTCAAGGGTACATACCTGGGTTGCAGGTTCGATTCCCCAGCCTCTCTTGGGGTGCGTGCAGGAGGCAATCAATCGACGTGTCTCTCTCACATCAATGTTTCTCTCTCTCTTCTTCTCCCCCCCCAATACTCTCTAAGATAAATAAGTAAATAAATATTAAAAATATTTTAAAAATCCTTGAGTAAGGATTAACAACAAAAAAGGGACCAGGACCTACCTAGGCCATTCTGTCCCAGGAAGGTCTGCAATGTGTAAACCATTTGCTCTTAAGTGTCCTTGGTTAGAGAAGATAAAATCTTATGATTTGCCCGGCCAGCGTGGCTCAGCAGTTGAGCATCGACCTAGGATCCAGGAGATCCCAGTTCGATTCCCGGTCAGGGCACATGCCCGGGTTTCAGGCTCGATCCCCAGCAGGGGGCGTGCAGGAGGCAGCCGATCAATGGCTCTCATCATTGATGTTTCTCTCTCTCTCCCTCTCCCTTCCTCTCTCTCTAAAATCAATAAAAACCTTTTTTTAAAAATAAAAAGCTATAAGTTCACAAGGAGAAAGTCGATGGAAGAGGAGACACGGAGGATGAGACACACGACATGTTTTAGGAGATGGTGCATAAGGCACGGTGGTGACTGAGCAGAGTTCCTACAGGGGCAGGGGGACCCGTGGGAGCAAGAGACTCACCCTCTGAACCCTGAGGGGGCTCGGGACCAGAAGGCGCCAGGTGCAAGGGAGCCAGGGGTGAGGCTGGGGACCTCGGGGGAACATCCCAGCCTCCACCACTGCCGGAGACCAGAGAGAGGCTTTCCCGCATGCAAGTGCGCTCAGGTGGGGGCAATGGGCCAAACGAAAGCAGGCGGATGGAATCAAAGTCCCTGTGCTAATGTCGCTCTCGGTCTCTGACACCACTTGGCACCCAGAACACTAGCAGCCACTTTCCATATATGTCCTCATTTCCTCCTCAGGACAACCCCGAGGGCAGGGTGTGTGACCCACCCTGCAGAGAAGGAAGCAGGAGTTCCGGGGCTGGAAGTTCAATGCCGTCCTCTATGTCCAGTCACTAGGACAGGGCCTGGAGGCAGAGGAACAGTCCCCCGGGTTACTGCCAGGCGAGGCCCCAGAGCTGGCTCAGATCCACTCAGGGGTGCAGGAGTCGAACCAATATTTGGACACTGTTTTCCTGACTCCCCACTGGCCTGTGAATTCCACCACAGCGTCCTGCCGGCCTCCTAACACCTGCGGGGGGGAGACCCTTGGGTCTACTGCCACCAAGGATGGGACATGCAGGATCAAGGCTGGACTTGTGTGTTGGTGGTAGAGGTTGTCGGACACCAGCGTCATCTCAAAAAAAGATGCTTGCCCCGGCTCCCTGGACACCCTGCTCCCCCGCCCTGTCTGGGTGAGCGGCCAGGGTCAGGGTCAGGGTCAGGGTCAGGGACAGGGGGCAGGACCTGGGTCAGCGGGAGGGTGGGACAGAAAGAAAAGGCTCAGGAGGGCGATCTGCCCGGAAGGCGGGTCCTAACGGGGTGGGAGGAGCCTCGGGAGGCCCAGGGGACTGGAGGGAGCCCAGGAGGTGGGAGTGGGAGGAGGTGGGGCCAAC